TTCCTCAACCACAGAAAGTGGCGAAATCTTTTCCACCGAGACTTTGGTTTAGTTGTTCTGTGACAATCTGTTTAGAAACCACAGCATTCTCTGCCAGTTCATCGTCAAAGGCACCAGGGAGAGAGTCCTGGTCCTCACATTGTCCATCCTCATGCGGTTCCTCAGGGTTATCATGCTCTTCATAGCTGGTGACTTCCTCAGCATTCCTCTGCATCTCCAGCATGGTTCCCAGTGTCTCCAGCATTCCTTCATAGACCATGACCTTGTGATCAGCTTCCTTCTGAATGCTCATCATCTCCTCTTCCCATCCTTTGACTAAGGCTGTCTATCTCAGCCCTTAAAGTCTCGATCTGCCTGAGATCTTGCTCCACCCTGTCCGCATGAGCGAGCTTTTCAGTCTCTATCTCACGCTGAAGGGCGTCTTTGTCCGTCCTCAAGGCCTCGATCAGCTGGAGATCTTTTTCCATCCTGTCCGCATGAGCGAGCTTTTCATTCTCCAGCTCACACTGAAGGGTGTCGATCAGCTGGAGATCTTTTTCAGTCCTGTCGGCATGAGCCAGCTTTTCAGTCTGTAGCTCACGCTGAAGGGCGTCTTTCTCCACTTTCAGGGTGTCGATCAGCTGGAGATCTTGTTCCACCCTTTCTGCATTAGTGAGCTTTTCAGTCTCTAGCTCTGCCTCCAGGGCGTCTTTCTCCACCTTTAGAGCGTCTTTCTCCGCCTTCAGGGCGTCTTTCTCCACTTTTAGAGCGTCTTTCCCCGCCTTCAGGGTGTCTTTCTCCGCCTTCAGGGCGTCTTTCTCCGTCTTAAGGGTGTCTTTCTCCACCTTTAGAGCGTCTTTCTCCGCCTTCAGGGCGTCTTTCTCTACCTTTAGAGCGTCTTTCTCCGCCTTCAGGGTGTCTTTCTCCACTTTTAGAGCGTCTTTCTCCGCCTTCAGGGTGTCGATCAGATGGAGGTCGTGCTCCACCGTGTCGCCGTGAGACTTGTTTTCCGTCTCATACTCACTGTGAAGACTTTCAGCGTCTGCTGTGAAAAAGGCCTATATTGGACTTTAAACAATGCCTCTATCTAAAATTACTGCAGACTACTGTACATTATGTAGGCTAAATGGTTATATAAAAACAGCCACTTGCTATAAATATTTATATTTCACAGCAGAAACTTGATGACACCACATCCTGTCGTCGTTATTTACAGTAACTGTAATGTAAATGGCTAATGCTGTGTTTCAGCTTGCTCTCGTAGAGGCTGTGGTTGCGGTTCAGTGCGGCTTACTGTTAAGAAGTATCTAAAAGTGGAGCTGTCAGGTTTGTAAACACGGCACATCCTGGACTATACCAAAGCCGGGGGCGTAGTGATTTCACAGTAATTAACTCCTTTTTCAAGCTGCGCGAAGAGAAACGGGTTTCTTATTGCTTCGGGCGAGAATATAAAATACAGTTTTGTGTACTCATTCTCTAATTGCAGAATGAAGACAAACGCGTCCTTTACCTTTTTAAACATCCCCACCCCACCCATTCTTTCTGAGTTAGTGAGTTGCTTCTTCCGCGCTCTGCTCCGAATCAGCTGAGTTTTGAAGAGGCCGCTCCACTGTGACTCTCACGTCCGGTACCCTGTGTATATTTGTCCAGACACACACACGCCCTCTGGACATATGAGCTGCAAATTTGACGTCACTTGCATTAGAGCCGCGTTAATGTGAAGATCCACCATTTTTGTAATTTGAGCCGCGTTAATGTGAAGATCCACCATGAAAACCGGGCTGTCTCTTGTTCGAGTCTGACTGCTTTAAGACGAGTGTGGTCCGGTGCATCCTGGACCAATTTCGCAGATGGTGAGTCATTGATGCATTGATGGCTAGCTAACGTTAAATCTGTGAACGGCGTTGGTATTAACATTAACGCTAGCTCTAACGTCGTTGTTGTCTTTATTTAACCAGATCACTCGGTTATTTCTTCTGACATTGTAAAAATGAGACTTTTCTTTTAAATATTTGTAAAGCTTCATCGATATTAGCTAGCTAGCTAACGTTATATCTTGGAATGTTCCATAATTCCATTGTAGTGCTGATCAGCAGTTTTGTCGACAAAACGTTCATAAGCTAACTTAGATGTATACAAACATATTTTACTAACCTAATGTAAAACCATCTTACTTGTGTCCTAGTCTTTTAGGCAGTGACATTATCCAGTTTGTGGCGTGAGGTCGTGCAGTTACATAATATACACTCAGTAATGGGTTCCACTGATGCTACCGTGCATGTACAGACCACAAGCTGCTGCTGCTGCTGACAGCAGCTTTTGACCACAGCTTGTATGGACGTCTTCTCATCAGACATCTCACAGCTACACACAGTCACATTAAAGCCCACTGTAGTACCGTCAGGTGATAACGTCCATCGCGGGGCTTGCTGGGTGTCCACCCTAAAAGCACACACTTTTCTGCCTAAGAACAAAACAGATTTTTATCGCACTTGCTGTTTTGCTGATACATACAACTAGGAAGTGAGAAAGTCCATTTAGCTCTGCTTGGCCTTCACACTTTATCAAACTATCGCTTGATGGTTGCATAAACGAGATCTGTGTAGAATAGGATCACTTAATCAAGGGATAGTTGCCATTTAGACAAGTACTGTTAAGTCTTTCACCTACTGTCAGTTAGCACTTAAAAATTAATATCAAGAATGTTTGTTTGGGTAAAACCAGGTTGAAGAGTTTAATCTGCCAGCCAGGACTGAGATCAGGAGTACTGCATGTGACTTCTTTATACAAGTGTTTACAGTTGTAAAAGGATTGCACTTTGGCCACTGTTTGTTTATTTTATTCATCAAAAATGGTACAAAAATAAATGATTAATATGACAGACAGTTTTTCCTAAATTGCAGTACAGAAATGCCAATTATATCTTTCAGGTAATTTACTCAGAAAAACTACCATTACAGGACACTGACAAATGTAATTTTCCACTGTAAAAGGTCTTGTTCACTTAATAACCAAATTAAGGGACACTTAGAAAAAACTGTTGTTTACTGTATGTCATGTCATTATGTAAAAATCTATCCTGACTGTATATCCTTAGATTTAGTTGGGCTTCATGAGCCCTGAGTGCTGAGTAAGTATAAGCTATGCATCTTTGATAAGGTGTATAGGAGTCTGAGAATCATTGATGAAGTTTAAATGCTGACAGTCAGAAGACAAGAAGAGAAATGCTCTCAGTATTATTCCACATCACTTAGGAATTTACTTGTTTACAGATTTTGCTAGTTTTCCCTCCAGTTGTCTTGCTCGCTGGCTGCTTCACAGTGCTGTCTTTTCTCAAAAAGACACACAAATCAGTAAAACCAACAGCATCTGGGTATTTGTATTTTGCAAATGACCCACAGTGGGAATCAGTAATTACATTTTTATTGATTATGTTTCTGTCAGTTACTTGTGCTTTCCAGCACTAATGCACTGTCATCCCGAGCACATGTTGTTGACCTTGTCCACGATGGCAAGGCGCCTCTTCGCTCAAACACAGGGAGTCCAGATGTTTGCACTCCTCTACTCTAATCCTGCCTACATACTCCCCCACCCATCTCTCAGTATTCAAATTCACTACATGCACACACACACACCACTGCCTTTCCCATGTGCATGAAACCAAGAAAGATAACTCTTTTCAGATTATACAGTATATTTAGCAGTCGGGTATTTTGTGTCTAATTTAATGTTTTTGCCTCTGTATCTTCAAATAAGATTCTGTCCCTATTTCACTTCCTCCTCAGGAACCTTTTAAAGCTGTATTTATCAGAATTGTTTTATAAACAAAGGATGTACATTTAATGTGAAAGTAATGGCTTGTGCTGATTAACCCACTGATTTATCACCAAACTCTGAGGTTTTAAACATTTTTTAGCTCATTTGTTTTGGTTTTATGGCCCACATCTTTGCAATTTGGTTCAAGCTCACTATTCTCATCACTTGCAGCAGGCAGCAAAAAGTTCTGGTAAAACCACTGAAGTCTACCAACATATTATCAAAGGTCAGGCAGAATTAGCCAGATATTTCCCTCATTAAAAGGAGACTGAATATTGGTCTTAAATGGCCAGAAACACAGCTTCAGACAAATGATATTGTTGTTCTGTGTCTGTGGGACACAACACCTTCATAAGATGACCATAGTGGATGTTGTTCAAATTGTACACCCAAGAAACCAAAAATTATTAAATGTTGCTGTGTAGAGAGAAACAAACCGTATCCCTCTATATGTTTGTGCCCAGTCCGTAACCTGTTTTTCTCTGGAAGTGCATGCAGAGCCACACAGTTTATTAGAAGGATTCCTCCGTCCTCAGACTGAGAGACAGGTCAGCCAGACAATCACTGACCAGTCATGAATGAGGACATTTGTCTTATTTGCCTCGGAGCCTGTGTGTGTGTCAGTGAAAAGCGTTAATTAGCTCATTTTATTTGCTAATCAACAAGCCTCAGCGGTAGAAGGGTGTCCAACAGGTTTCAGACAGCTTGATGAAGCTATGATCAGTGTCTTTTTTCCTCAGAACCTCTCATCTGTCTTGCCTCTTTTCCAGACATGTTGTGCTGAAAATGCTGGGATTAGACTGATATATCATGGATCCTGAGGAGTTAGAGCTGCAGAATGACTACCGTTACCGTAACTATGCCGCAGTCATTGAGAAAGCGCTGCGAAACTTTGAGTCTTCGAGTGAGTGGGCAGATCTTATCTCTTCCCTGGGGAAGCTCAATAAGGTACAGTATGGTGCACGGAAATGACCCGATACCATAGAAACACTGTAGCTGTTAATATTGTCTCATTATGTGCTCCTAAGGAATTACCTGTGTTCTAGAATTTAACCAAAATTTGCGTGTTAGTTTTTCTTTTTGGTGTTGGTGCCATGCAGGTGTGAGCATCACAGCTGCTGTACGTGTTTCAGTTCTCAGTTGTTATGAGGAAGTTCTTGTTTCTCTTTGCAGCAGTCTCTTTGTAATACAAATAAAATTGCTCAAGTCTTCAGGCCATTTTATTTGGGCAATGAATGTGTCCTTTTTTCTTTTGACTTTCAGAGCAAATGTTTACTTAGCACAAACAGTCATCCTTTAAGGTTTACATAAGGGGCAGAGAAAAGTTTAATGTCATAAATATGAAACATTGCTACAACAAAATGCACAAAATCCAATTCCTCCGGTTTGTCTGTTTGGGGTAATTAGTTTTATGGTTGTGTATTAACTCTTTTTAATAGCTAGTGTAGCTTTGCCTTATTTTCTGTCTCTTTCCATCAGGCCCTGCAGAGTAACCTCCGCTATTCACTCCTACCCAAGAGGCTGATCATAGGGAAGCGTCTCGCTCAGTGCCTACACCCGGCCCTGCCAAGCGGAGTACATCTCAAAGCTCTGGAGACCTATGAGATCATCTTCAAAATCATTGGAACAAAATGGCTAGCCAAGGATCTGTTCATTTACAGGTAACCAAACTGGCTTGACTCTATTACTGCTTCAAGGAGAGTACTGGCCTGAATATGAATGCATTTTTGTGATTTAACTTGTGTGTGTCTGGATTTTAGCTCAGGATTGTTTCCGCTGTTGAGCCACGCAGCCATGGCAGTGAAGCCTGTTCTGCTGACACTGTATGAGCGTTACTATCTCCCACTGCAGAGAGCTTTGCTGCCCAGTCTCCAGGCATTCGTAACAGGACTCCTACCAGGCCTGGAGGAGGGACTGGAGGTCTATGACAGGTGCACAGCACACTCTGGTTTTGTTAGGAGAAAGAAAAATAATCTCAAACCATTCTTATGTAATGAGTGTTTTAAGGGATTAAATTTAGAGGACAGGTCTCAGTATTCTATATTTTTCTTATTGTGAGGAAATCCCATGAAAAGACCAAAACGTCAGGTTCTGTCCGTTTAATCACAGTGTTTTCCTCTGTGCCATATAGTACAGCAGAGCTGAACATGAGCCTGGATTTATAACATTCAACAAATGTGTTTAAAAGAATGACCAGCTAATTTAACTGACTTGCTGGTTCTTATGTGGGTCATATTTTGAGTCGGTTGGCCTATTAAGATAGTATACTGGCCAAATGGTACTTTTATACTGAAGCAGTGTGTCAGAAACAACATCATTAACCACTAGACCAGTGTGCCATTTATTAGTGGATATATTGTTGAACACATCTTCGGTTTTTGTCCTCTCTCTGTCCAGGACTGATGCATTGCTGGTCAAATTGTCACTGCTGGTGGGTCAGCAGGTCTTCTATGGTGCCCTGTGGGGCAGCATGCTGGTCAGCCCCATGGTGCGACTGCCCGCCTCGGTCTTTATAGTCACCCACTTTGACCGCATGGTGTCCCCGAATCAGCAAACACACATGCTAGGCTACGACCACCTCCTAGTGGTGAGTGTCTGTGTTTGTTTTACTGCACACATATGGTGTAGGTCATGTCTAAACATGAAAAGGTTTATTATGAGGACTTTTTTCTATTGTGAACATATTTCAGTTTAAGGTCAGTTAATTCAGCATTTTGCTCTGCCTCCATCTTTTGTCTGAATGTCTCGGGTTCTGTCTGTTTCCAGGTGAAGTCAGTGTGTCTTTCTCTGCAAGATTCAAATGTTTTGGTGCAGAGGAACATGCTCGAAATCCTGCTCTACTTTTTCCCTTTTGCTGCATGTCTGGTAGGTAGATACACTGCTTTTGGTTTTCCTTCCAAATCACTGAACTGAGGATGTTGGTTAAACTGGGGATTTCTGTAAAAGTTGATAATGCTTCTCCTCTTGATCCAGCAGTGTCATATGATCCGCATTAACTACAAGTATTATTTTGTGTTGGCTATTACTGCTGTTGTCAGCTGTCGAATTTAACTGAGTCTTAGTTACTTTAGAGAGCTGTCTCTAACATCAGCCTCTTTTCCACTGAATGTGGCAAGTGATCTATCATTAATCTGCCGTTCTTGTTCCTCAGCTAATTATCACTCTGTGTATTGTTATTGAAGGATCCAGCAGAGGCCTGTATTACTATGAGTGTCGAAGACGTGATCACAATGGCATCTGCCGCTTCACTCACACTACTTCGCAGAGACATGTCCCTTAATAGACGCCTCTACGCCTGGCTCCTGGGTACTGGTTATTAAAATGGACCGCATAGTTTGATCAGTTACTGTTTTTTTTTCCCAGTTTCCTTGCTAATGTTTGTCTTCACTTGCATGTATTTTCAGGCACAAACATAAAAGGAGAAATAGTGGCACCACACCCCACCCTCTCCACCACCACAGAGGAACATACGTTGTTCTACTTCAACACCTACTCTAGAGATTTCCTTGTACAGGTAACTCACTCATGTGCTATCACACAGACATGCACCAAATGTGTTGAGAAACATGCTTGTTTGCTTTCTTGCTGTGAGTTAGATAAGATCGGTGCCACTCACATGACTCTATAATAATTATGAAGCTACAGGCAGTTGCTTGTTTTGTTCTTACCATGAGGTTCTGGGCCACCAGCAGAGACTCAACTGCACCCAGCCATGAAAAACTCATACATATAACTTCTGTCTAAATCCCTACAAAAAATGCTAATAAGCATATTTTCTAAAAATATATCCTGTAACTAAATTAAGTAAAATGTCTCTCAAGATTCTTGCTCAGATGTGGTTGAACAGTGTTCTAATATATATTTGTCACCTGTTTCTCTGACCTCAGGCTCTGATTAACATCCTCAAACAGAAGGATGTGAAAAGTGACCCAGAAAATGTGATCGGATACCTCAGGCCCTTTCGTATCATCATCAGCCTGCTGGATAAACCAGAGATAGGTAGACAGCACTGAGCAGCGCATTACAAAAACCACACCACAGTGCTGAATTACGTGATCCACTGCTCTTTGTTCAAGGTGCTTTACTGTGATAATGTTTCTGCTCAGGTCCAGCTGTCTTGAGCAGTGTGTTGTTGGAGGTGGTTCGAGCCTTCTATGGTTACTGTCGAGAGATGCTGGGAGAGGAAACCATTACTAGCTCAGGGCTCTCAGACAACCAGCTAGTCAGGTGACAGTGATGGATGTTAACACAGATGCACTGTTGAATACATACTGTATTTAATGGGTGAAAGAACGGCTACCTACATGAAATGAATCCTGAAACATGGTATTTTTGTTATGTTTTCTTAAACAGTAAGATAAAGGAGAATAAGAATGCATCAGAGATCATAAAGACTGTGAATATGCTTGTGAGCTCCATGAACAGTGAATACCTGTGGGAGTACATGACACGGCGCTTCTGCACTTCTCTCAGGTATGGTGGGGGATGACTGACAGAATCATTGAGTATAATGGGAAAATCTGCATGTTAGACTTTAAAACTTAAACCTGTCAGGTGTTAACTACAGTCTATAGTGGAGACGGCATTCACAAAGTTCTTGTATATGCAGATTTTTCGCAGTTATCTTGATATTTCATAAGATAAAAATGGGTTTTTTACCATTGGTCTCTCTCTATAGTAACAAGGATGACCCACCAGCACCTCCTCAACAGGACCGCAGTCATTCTGCTCCATCTGTACCAGAGATATCTAATCTCATAATTTTCCTGCTTGATGTTCTTCCTCTGGTAAGAAACACACACACCTCTGTGTAGTTCCCTCCTTTATGAAATAAAGTTGGTGCAGTGAAGCCTATACCAGAAAAAAGGCAGAGGACCCAAATAGTATGTTAAAAATATCAACAATTATTCAGCATAACTCTAACTCATATACACACAAACCTGAAGAAGCTTCTACACACAAACAACATGTTCATGATTTGTACCCTCAGGAGCTCCATGCTGATATCCAGTCCCAGCTCCTTCCTGAGATGCTGGGCACCATGCTGTGCACCCTGCATAGCAACATGAACTCTGTTAGCCTGGAAGATGTCACACAGGGCCTGCGTGCCTGCTTCAAGGTCCTGAGTAAGATCCAAATGCCGGTGGTGTATATGGACACTGAGGCAGGTGAACACGCAGAGGAGATGGCATTACAGACACCAGAGGAGGGAAGCAAACAAATTCAGGTTAGGCATTTTACAGCCTGTGACATTGTGGTTTCCTTCCAAATATTTTTGATGTTTGGCTGTGCCTTATCATAAAAATGATACTTTATCTAGGATATCGAGAAGGAGGGACAGAAAGATGGAGTTGTTTGTCAGATTAATGGTGACCATGTAGAAGAAGAGCTGTACAGAGATGAACGAGAGTCTGCAAATGGTACTTATCCAGCACTCAGGTCTGAAGATAGTGGACTAGGAATCAGTGCCTCCCCGTCAGAACAGCATCTCCCACCTGGGATGGGGATGGGGTCAAAGGAAAATGGACTTTGCAAAGAAGGTGAGGGAGTGTGGAGGAAAGGAGGCAGTGTAGACACCATGACTCTGTGTCTCCAAAACATCCTGGCCTTCATAACCACAAGGTAAATTGTTGAGCCATTATCAAATTAGTTTGTAGTCTTAATGGACTCCTTCACTGGACACTTTTATCAGCTGCAATTGCTAAATATTTTCTCTCCTGCCATGTTTCAGATACCTGCTGGTACAGGTGGAGGATGTCAAGAGACTGGAGGAAGGACCCCAGCCTGACCGAAGTGTTACCTCTGAGGATCAGAAATTTTTGTTTCCAAGCATAGGGGGACATCAAATTAAAGACAAACTGACTGAACTGTTCACTCCTAACAAACTGAAATCCAGCCCTACATCTGACAGCCAGCTCTCAGCATCCCCTACAGAGAAGAAACAAGAGCGTGGGCATTTAAGATGCCTGGATTGGGCGGCAGGCTATATGCCACGGGGCCGGGCAGAGATCTCTGAGGCCTGTCGGCAGGCCTTTACTGCCACATGCCACCTTCTACTAGAGTGCACCACCTTCCCTATCTACTTAAGTGAAGAGGAGACTCTGGCTCTTCACACAGACATGTTTGGCCACACAGGTCAGCACGCAGTCATGCACTTGAGTTCATAGTATTGTTAGCTGCATGCTTTAACCCACAAAGAAGTAATTAAAGGATTTGCTTTCTTTAGGCACCGAAGTGGACAGCCTGCCACTATGGCTGAGGTCCTTGATGACACTGTGCTGCTTGTCCAGGGACTATAATATCCAACACACAGCAGTGGCCTCCCTGTTGGAACTTATCAACCATTCCCAGTCATTAGCATTAGTCATCCAGGACAAGCGCAGACGCTACCAGACATCTGACTCTAACCCTCTGAGTGGGCGGCTGCAGATGGTCACTGTGCCGCCCATCTACCCTGCCCTGCTTCGGGCCATAGAGGAAGGCACAGATTTCTATCAGGTTAGGTTATAAAAGGAACATTTTTGTGTGTCTTACAGCTGTAAGTGTAATATTTTAAGATTTTAAAATGTGCTGTGACACAGAGGGTGGCCCAGGCACTGTGGAGCCAACTGGACATGGAGCGGAGAGAACAGCACATTTCCTGTGTGGAACTCTTTTACAGGCTTCACTGTCTGGCTCCATCAGTGTCCATCTGTGAAGACATCATCTGCCAGGCATTATTGCACAAAGACAAGGTGTGTATGCCTGCACACAGCTGAACCAGATTTTATTCACATATTTTTTTCCACCATCTTCCAGATATCATTTTAACTGAGATGAACATACAAACAAACCTAAGAAATGTGGCAAGTTGTTCAGGTAAGGCAAAGTTTTGTTTTGCGTTTGTCTGCCGTAGGCTGTTAGACTGGATCAGGTAAGCCAAAGTTTTGCTTTGTGTTTGTCTGCCGTAGGCTGTTAGACTGGAAGCACTGCATCGCTTCACAGTGCTATGGCACCTGACTCGGGAGATCCAGACCAGCAGGACTATGTCTCTCAATCGCTCCTTTGACCGGTTGGTACATATTTGAAGAGTAGTTAAGACAAATGAAGGGTTCTGTCTTATGCATCAGTCTTTTGGTAATTCCTGAATCTTTTACATTGTCTCTCAGTACTCATCTTATGTGCTTTGCATATTCAACATATGAGTCATGGCTGCTCTGATAGTGGATTAGTCTGCTACACAAGGAGCCAGTAATGTCACAGCTGTAAAGATGGAAATGTTCCTCAGGCCTCAGGGAAATGTTCAGCTTTTATTGAAACTGTTCTGAAGAGGTGTTTATTCAATTTTAAGATCATTTTGGAAGACGTAGTTTGTGCTGCTGTTGAATTGACATCACATGCTAATTTGCTGTCATAACATCTGTGTTTATATTTATCTAACATTAAAAAATGTAAGGTTAAAACCAGGAAGCCAGACTCTAAATAGCTTTGTCATTAAAAACATTTTTCAAGCTGCTATCATCACATCGATATGCATGTAAATCTACCTCTTATAAAAGCATTTTATACACTTCAGTATGCTGAATAGAGAGGAGGACCCAAACACTGGAATTAACCTGTGCTAGCAAATGCTGTATATTTTGAGGAAAATAAAACCTGAACAGTTGGGTTATATTTAATTACAGTTTAACTTTAGCAAATGCAGAGGAGTAGTTTACCCAGACAGACATTGGGGATGAGTGGCTGGTTGTTTAGGTACATTTACGTGTCTTTCCTGCTGCTGATTGGTGAGTTAAACATGCTGCTGCCCTCCCCCATCCACTGAATACAGTCAGTCCAGGAACCACAGTGAAATGAGAGCACATTCGCTGATAAATATCAGCCACTCTCCTCAAGGAAAAGACATTAAATTTGCTAGGTTTGTTGCCAGTTGCTTTTGAAGTTAAGTTGCTATAGGAGTCTTAAAAGCTGCAAAATGTAGCAAGAAACTTGCTGTGCGGCACCCTTCAGGCCAAAATTTACACTTTCCCCACTTGCCCACTCATGAAACATGATGACAAACTGAAGATGAAAAAGATTCAAAGAATTACAGAAAAAGACAACTTACTATTTAAGAAACCTGACTTTTCAAACGTGTCTCTCTCAGGTCTCTGTGTGTTGTGGTGGACAGTCTAAGTTGCACTGATGGTTCAATAAGTGCAGCAGCTCATTGCTGGCTTGTCAGGGCTCTGTCCCTCAGTGATGTGATTCGAATCCTGGAACCTATTCTGTTGTTGTTGCTTCATCCCTCCACTCAGTGCTGCTCTATTCAGAGCATCAAACAAAATCTTACTGCTGGTAAGTGCATTTGTCATTATGTTTTGTCTGTGTTGTATATGGCAGTTAGATTTGTCTTGGTAAGAATTAATTTTTGTTATTGTTGTGTGCTTTTATCTGGTCTGTTTCTTTGCTTTTTAGGTAACCTAAAGGGTCTAAGCAACAGACGTAGAGGTTCCACCAAAAGTACTGGGACATCTGCGGGTGCCGTGGTAACAGAGATCACCACCTTAAATCTCATTAACATTGTGGACCGGGAGTCCCTGTGGGCACAGTTAGACAATAGCCCAGAACTGTCCAGACTACCAGATGCTTTAGTGATCTCAAGAAGTGGAAGTGAAGAGACAGAAGAGGAGGATAAGGCAGAAGAGGAGGAGGAGGCTGAGAGTGAACACACCGAGTCAGCTGACACCAGTGGTGCCCAGGTATCTACTGAGAACTCCAGCTCTGGCTCTACCCCCTACCCCAGCATTGAGGAAGGTGGTGTGGTTAATAGCCTGCGGAGGGCAGAGTCTGAGCACACGCAGGCATCTGATTCATTGTCAAGTGAGGATGAGGAGGATTTAGAACTGGAAGCCATGGCCAAGTCTCGCCTCTTAAAACAGGAGCGTGAGAAGAGAGAGGCCATTGACTCTCTGTTCAGACATGTGTTGCTGTATCCTGTGGCTGGTGGCTGGCGTCATCTGCTCCAAGGCTTGGGACTGCTGGACAGCCTGCTGAGGAGCAGTGCTGAGTGCCCTCTGGTGGATGCTCTTTCCTCCACCTCCTTGGACACAAGCTCTGCTGCACATTTAAACCTGGTCTCTAACCTTTTACAGCGCCACCAACAAGCTCAGGATGGCAAAAGCTTCTATGGCTGCCTGCTTTCCCCCTCTTCCTCCCCATCTGTACCCCCATCCTTGCTCATTGAACTGCTGGTGTCTTTGTGCCTGAGATTTTTGCGCTCTCATTACCCTTCCTACCTGAGCCTGGGTCCTCACGACCTGCAGGGGAACAGGGACGTTCAGGTGAAGAGTGTAGAGGTGCTGACCCGGATGGTGAACCAGCTTGGCTGTGTGGCACAGGGACAAGAGGGCAACGGGGCCACTTTGGATCCAATCCGCAGACTCCTCTCAGGATGTAAAGTGCAGCAATATGCCCTGCTTACTCTTTCTGCATCCATGTATGTTAGCCAGAGGGGGACAGACAAGGGACCACCCAAAAATGTGGAACTGCTGGATGAACAAGGAAGCCTGTCGGAGGAGAGTCTGTTAAATCTTGGAACAGGAGGGGGACAGGAGCAATACCCCTTGCAAATGGAATTGCTTAAACTACTTCAAGCTCTCATCACCCTGGAGCACCATTTGTGGCCCAGTGGGGCTGTCTCATCAACTGGCACAGGTGGAGCATCTGTCCAGCCTGGGGAGCCTCGTGAATCTCCAGCTGCCAGCACCCCCCTTGCTCGTGAGTGGCAGACTGCAGTACTTTTCCAGCAGTCCATCAAGGCAGCCCAGTATGTCCAAAGCCACCCAATAACAGCTCAAGGAATGTTTGTGTCTGCTGCAGCCAGGGCTCTGCAGCCACAGTACGGCTATGCCATGCACCCCCACTGGGTGTCACTGCTGTGCTCCTCTCTTCCATACTTGGGGCGCTCATTAAGCATTATTGTGGCTCCACTCATCAGTCAGATCTGCAGGAACTTGGATGAACTGGTCAAACTTTACGAGCATGATGGTGGAAAGACAAATCAGAGGTAGGCTGAACACAAATTGTAGCTTTCCACATACAAAATAAAGTGTGTCACATAGTTTTGCACACAGCTGGTTTCTAATTTCAGGTTATTAAATCTTACTATACTGTGCAGTGTATAGTTTTCATATTTGCAAGCCTGAACTGTAGTTATGTGATGATTATTATGACTAGACTTTTCAAAAAAGATCAGGTTATTATTGGTTTCTGAATATTGGCTACTGCTTTGGTATTTTAACATTTATACAGGAGGCTCATATTTTTCCTGTGAGGACACTGTTATGTTTTGATTAAGATGTGTTTGTCTTCTGATCAGCCTGAGTGGTAGGAGGGAGAACATCGCCCCTGACTACCCTCTGACTCTGCTGGAAGGCCTGACCACCATTACACACTATTGTCTACTGGACAACAAGAGGGTGAGGAATGAGCACACACATGCACACACACACAGATATGTACCTTGATGAAATTAATGCTCATTTTCTTCTCTCTTTGTCTGTCTGTCAGTCCCTGGTTTCCTGTGATCCTGTAGATGTCCGTAATGCACGCAGTACTGTAATTGATGCACTACCACACATGCTCAGTAGTATGGCGTTGTTATGGGGCGTGATCATGAAGGACGAGTTTCAGAGGCGGACATCTGACTCTGCCCAAAGCAGCAGACACACTTCTACCTCTGTCTATTTTAAAAGCACCAAGGTGTGTGTGTGTGTGTTATAAACATACAGTCTTATGCAAAAGTTTATAAACATACATGTTTTCTGCATTTGTTTATGCCGACATCAGTTCATGTAATGACAGTGCTGTGTTGTTTAAGTCATATGTGTTTGGTTCTGTAATATGCTTACATATTTCCTCCTGTTCCTTAGATCCTACGGCAGCGTGTACTGGAGTTCCTGATCCCTCTAACTGGGCACTATGGAGTTCAGCTGATGGCTTCAGTGGGAGCAGTGTGGAGCTGCAGGAAGACTAAAAAGAGACATAAAAACAAAGTAAGAACTTCAGTGTGTCTGGGGAAAAATTAAAAGGCACAGTCACATCTCAGTCACTGTTGTCTTAAACTGTTATCTTCTTTAGGTTTTACCTGTGGTCAGTGAGTCTCGTCTGACCATTGTGGATCTGGTGAAATCACTGAATACCTTGCATACAGATACCATCCTACAGTTGGTCAAAGAGGTGGTGAAAAAACCACATCAGATCAAAGGGGACCAGGTACACTTACTGTACACACCCAGACAGATGCTTATTAAACTCATAATCTGGAAGTTTCTTAAATTTATTTTTGCACATTTTTCAGAAGTCAACCCTGGTAGATATCCCCATATTGCAGTTCAGCTACGCCTATATCCAGGGGTAAGTAGGGGAAAGCAGTGCAAGTCATAACTTGGGGTTAATATATTCATTTTACAAATGTTCACTTTTACAATAATCTCAATTTCTCTGAGTAGCATTTCAGCCCAGGCTCTGCAGGAAAACGTTGCCCCTCTCCTCGCTCTGTTGCGGGAGTCTGTTCAGCTCAATCTGGCCCCACCTGGACACTTCTTACTGCTGGGGTAAGTTTTTACAATGTTTCACCTGCTGATACCAGAATAAAGAGCGTTTAGGTATCCCTGTTGGATGATGTAGTAGTAGTAGTAGTACTGATATATTACTATTAATTATTGAACATTTTTCCTTGTATAGATTTGTTAATTTCCATTATGAAAATATGATAATCCAGTTATTATTTCTGTCTTACAGAATCCTGAATGATTTTGTCAGTAGGCTCCCCAACGTGGACAACAAGAAGGACACTCGAGATCTACAGGTAAGCTGATTATTCAGCTAGTTGCAGATGTCAGATCAGTAAGCTCTTGATTGAGATAGTGAGTAATGCATATAGGATACTACTGTGATATTAATGATGACATTATCATGCAGGAGGTGACTCAGCGGATCCTTGAGGCAGTAGGTGGGATCGCAGGGTCATCTCTGGAGCAGACCAGCTGGCTGAGCCGGAACCTTGAGGTCAAAGTTCAACCACAGGTGTGTCCTGAAACGGACGAACCTGAGGATGTGGATGGTGACCATTACGGTAATTCTTGATACTTTTGCATGTATAAAATGACCTCAGGTGCAATTAGTTGAGGAAAATTAATCCAGGGGATCAGTATAGCCCTCTGTCAGACAGGACTAAGTGGAGCTTACAAATCACTACTGTTGCCGTGGAAACGCTGCGATTTCTATAGTACACTTTTACTTTCTATTCAAATGTGATCTAAGAATGTAGACCAGGCCAAATACTTTAACCCAAAACTAATGCAAAAAGGGTTTGTTCAAATTCAAGTTTATTTTAATTCTATATACAGACGGTGGTGGGTGACAAATTAAAAGGAAAAACCTGAATAGCTGAGTGGAGAAATCACAAATTGGCATGCTTCTGCTCAGGTGAACAATTAACATCTCATCATGCTCTGTGAGGTGTAAAAACACTGAGCTTGACTTTGAATTAAGATGTAAGAGGAAAAGATCTAATTAACCTTGAAAGAGAGTTAAATATTTGGGCTCAGATGACAGGATTGCTCAACTGATTTGTGCTTAAATTGGAACAATGGCTGAAGTGATGTCTGCATTTAGATTTGGGTGACTTACAAGCCTGACTTCTTGACCCCTACAGTCAGAGAGTATGATGGCTCTGCTGGGGCTCTCTTCTGGTATTGTTTGGGTCTATTTGTCTCCTCAGAGGGAAGGGTATCTTCAAACCATTACAGTTATTATGAGTGATCCAGTTTACACATATGCACCTGTTGCTCCCTCTGAACCTTAAGACAAATTTCACTGCTCTGTATACTGGCCACAGCCCCATGGTGCTGCTTAAGGCAACTAGCATAAAGAAACATTATTCTAAGAGCTTGGTAACAGTCATACATGAACTCACTGTTCCTTCTCTCTTCTTTGTCTCCCTTGGTCAGAGTCAATGGCTCAAACGAGCACCATGGTTTCCTCCTCCGCTCCCTCCATCTACAGTGTGCAAGCTCTGGTGCTGCTGGCTGAGGTAGGACTGTGATTTTGTTTATGGTGAGTAAATGAATGAACCTTTTGTGTGCATTGGTTATATTATTTAACACACTCCATTACTCTGTAGATCCTGGCACCACTTCTGGACATGGTATACCGCAGTGACGAGAAGGAGAAAGCTGTTCCTCTCATTTCCCGGCTTATGTACTATGTTTTTCCCTACCTGAAGAACCACAGGTAACTACTATTGTAGGTGTCTAAGTTATCTTGTCAACAGCTCCGGACCCTTGAGCCTTAACAGTGTTCCTCTAATAGCACATTGTCTCCTCTAGTGCATACAACATGCCTAGCTTTGAAGCGGGAGCTCAGCTGCTGAGCAGTCTGAGTGGGTATGCCTATACCAAAAGGGCCTGGAAGAAAGAGGTGTTTGAGCTCTTCATGGACCCCCTTTTCTTCACCATGGATGCCTCCTGTGCGCCCAGGTGAATTTGTTTTTCATAATGTGCAATATCATTTTTCTGTATATTTAGAAGAAAATTAAAATATTTTATCCTACCTATATCCTATATTACAAAATATATTAAGGTCACCAGTGTTTTATGGCCCCTGCTTGACTACCTTATGTTCTTTATAGCTGGAAATCCATTATTGACCACCTGCTGACTCACGAGAAGACCATGTTTAAAGACCTCATGAGTAAGTACAGCCTCTAGGAAATGCTCATGTAACATTAAAATTAAAAAGGTGAGAGCTAATCTGTGATACAGAACAATAAGGTTCTTGTGACACTGAAGTAGAATGCAACATGTTGAAAAAGGGAAATGCAGCGATTAAGAGAGTTCTTGTATCATTATCAAAGAAGTGATATAGAGTCGGGAAGATGGATATTTTCAAACCAGTGCAGTCAAAGTATCACTTCAGGAAATGTGTCAAATGCAAATTTCAGAGATGTTTCAGGATAACTACTGTTATAAACCATTATTTGTTCTTTAGGCATGCAGAGTGGCTCCCTGAAACTGTTTGCTAATGTAGACCAGAAACCCATGCTGCTGAAGCGCCAGGCATTTGCCATGTTCAGTGGAGAACTTGACCAGTATCATCTCTATCTACCCCTCATTCAAGGTGCGGTAGTGTTCTGGATATTTGAGATGTTTCAGTTATTGTGTGTATAGTTAGTGTTAAAAACAGACATTAAAATTGTCTGTGTTCTTTGAAAACGATCTTCATCCCCCTTCCTTTCAGAGCGTCTCACTGAGGCTTTGCGTATGAACCCTAGCCCTGCTGTCTCAGCCCAGATGTTCTTAATGTTCCGTGTTCTCCTGTTGCGGATTTCATCCCAGCACCTCACATCCCTTTGGCCAATCATGGTCACAGAACTGGTAGGATCCCATCCACTGGGAGTCTGGGACAATTACTGCATCAATATCGGTTTCAATTATTGTAAAGTAAGCTTCAATTTGAACTTGTTTTTCAGATTCGCATATTTGTACGTCTAGAGAAAGCTTTGCAGGAAGATAAAGATGTCTCAAAGTGAGTTAATTCTTTCACTGCCAATTTCCTACTTCACTGACATTGTGTTGACACTTGAGTGTTTCCCTGCATTCTTGTTTACCACCTAGACTGACTAAAGTGGTTCGAGGAGCCCTTGAGAGAAATGGACCAGTGAATTTCTCTCAGGCAGAGCTGGACATGTACCTGTCAGCCTGCAAGTTTCTGGACACTTCCCTGGCTTTTCCTCCAGAAAGGATACCAATCTTTCAGATGTGAGAGCCTGATTTAGGACAAAAGAACTTCAAAACATTCTTGCTTTTTTTTTTTTTATATGTGACTTCTGTTGCTGTAACTTTATTGTTTTACTTTCTGTCCTACCTTTTGTGTAACTGCTTGTGTACAGGTATCGCTGGGCATTTGTCCCTGAGGTGGATGTGAACCG